ATGATAACATAATATATGCCTTCAGAAATTTCCTGAAGATAAATACCAAAAAATAACACAACTGGAGTAACTACAGCAGTCGCCATCGACTGATCTCATATGAAGCTTCAGATCTCGAGGACATATAATGACATGTGCAGGTGCTGTAGTGCTGTCCCAATTCTTAGGGGTACATTTTGAAGGGGAAGGGGTAGGGGTACAAAAATAGAATTGGGATTGGGCCTTACTCTCAACCGCACGCTATGAGAAAATGAAAGTAAAACTAATCCGAATGTAGTGCTTTAAATGTCCAGCAGGTGGCAGGTCAAAACCACAAGTGGCTTTATGCGACTGCACAACAATGATAGTGACTCAAAATATGTTTTGGTGGGCAAACTATCGTTATATTTTTGACATCAGTTGCCGGTCGGAGGGGGGAGGAGGATGGGGGTCTGTAAATAGCCCGTGGGCCAGGAGTTAGAGACTCCTGATTTAAATGAATGATTCAGTTACAATATTTTTTTCCACCATCTACTGGTAGAACAGTATACCTTCAAACAGCACCAAAATGCATAATATATAATGTAAATATAACAAGAGGCGCCTAAGAGCAAGAAAGTTGCTCAAGGTGGGTCAGTTGGCATTTCTGTGTGGAGTTCACATGTTCTCCCTGTGTTGGCGCGAGTTTCCCTGGGTGCTCCGGTTTCCCTCACAGTCCAAAGACATGCGCTATGTGAACGCAATTACTGTATAATACTGCCTTTACTGTAATTATACTGCCACTGAAAGTCTGCAAAAACGCAAGTGGACTTAAAATGTGCTATTATAAAACTATTATAAAACTATTACATACATAAGCCTGTTGTACATGTACATGAATTTGCGAGATACCTTTTAAGGAGTCATCCTTTAATTTCTATCGATTTTCTAACAAAATAATTAGCTTGTGGATAAATTAGATCAGGGGTCTTTTTTTCCAACGTGGATTTTACAGTTAGCTAGATATGATTATCGATGATTCGACACGATTCCGAAAAATGACATTCTTCAAAACTCATCCAGAAGTTCTTGTCATAGCAACATTTCTGCAAGCTCAAGCTTGTTTAGGAACAGCTTATTTCATATAGACAGGATTTGAAAGTGTTATTTCAAGTGAAGGTTATACTAAGTAAGTATTTACCAACTGCTGCCATTGTCTTGCAAGAGCACTGTATAAAAATTGGAGAATGACAATAATGTACAACTGTATGTATTTTTGAAAAATCAGAATTTAACTAAAATGATTTAGTCTTATGCAATAAAGGTGCAAAAAAAGTTATGAAGGTAGTACCAAAGTCCCTTTAAGGCAAGACATTTTACTTAGTGGCCATCTTTGAAACGCCTTCAGGCAGTATGCTCGGGCATTCTGTTTGAATGGGAAACATCAAATTCTCCAAAACTACTTGCCAAGATTATGATTACATTACATATTATAAATAACCAATAAAGTTAAACAATAACTGTCTATTTAGTTTAATTTCTAAATGTTTGTATCACACAAAATCTGAAGAAACTCACGTCTGGTTCGAGCCCCTCCCCCGGAGAATAGTCATTCTATAGCAATCGCTGATTGGCTCCTGTACTAGAAGGCGGGCTTTGTTTGCCATATAGCAGGGATCACCAAACTCGTTCCTGAAGGTCCGATATCCTGCAGATTTTTGCTCCAACCCTAATCAAACACACCTGAACAAGCTAATCAAGGTCTTACTAGGTATGCTTGAAACACCCAGGCAGGTGTGTTGAGGCAAGTCTAAGCTAAACCCTGCAGGGCACCAGACCTCCAGGAACGAGATTGGCTACCCCTGCCATATAGCAATCGCTGGCTGGCTTTTGTACTGGTGGGGCTTTATTCACCATATTGACTGTTACACTTTTCCACATTCAAAAGTATACGAGTGTACGAGTGTATACGATGTCTTGTGTATTCTGGAGTCTTTAGGTGGTACCTTTTCAAGGGGACCAAAGACTTTTTTAGAACTTCTTATGTACACTTTAGGTAATAATTTATACTTTTGAGATACCAATATGGACATTTTTGATTTAAACCTGTACCATTCAATTTCTGAAAGAGTATGGTAAAAGACATGGCCAATACCGTCATTAAGCATTTTCTGTTGTTGCAAGGAATAATTAAATAATTTACAGTACTTAAGTACATACAGTACTACATGGACAGCTAATACGCAGGTGATTAGATGCAGTGCAGGAGATGTAGACACTTCTCAAATATCAAAATGCTTTTTTGACACTAGATTAATTTAAATCGCCAGTTACATCTTAAATACTGTTATAGTACATAGAAAATCAACTCTAAACAGCCTTCAACAAATGTAGAAAGTTTAACAAACTGTTTGATTTACTACAAATCCTATGTTATTTTGCTCACATGGCGGACAATCGAATATTAGATCAGATGATGTCATTACACTGCTGTCTTTCCACCAGCCAATCGTTGCATTAATGATCATGATTTTGAAGAATAAAAGATCTGTGCTTCACAACAAACATAAGCACACAGTAATCCCAGATCAATTTATCCAGATATTGTAAGCTGAAACTTGTTTGGAGAACCAAATTAGCCAGAGATATCTGTTCTCACGATTAAAAGATCCTGCATCTGCCAAATCATCTTAGATTGTTAAAGCAAGGTGCGAAGGATGGACCCAATGTTGAGTCACTTTATGGCAATGACATCATCATTTTTTTCTTCCAACAAAATCACTAATATAAAATGAGTTGACCAAGCTTCTTCACATAATCTACCATAGTCAACTGTTAGGGGAAAGCCCTAAATAAGACATACATTCAAACAAATCTAAATGACTTTAAAAACATTAACACATTTTCTTTACCTTATCAAAGAAAAGAAAATATAAGGCTGAATAAAACCATGAAGAAAGCTCATTTAAACTTACAAATGCCATTTCATCTTACGGAACAGTATTTATTGTCATGGTGAAAACTAAACTAGAAAGCAAGATTAGGTGAGAGAAGGAGGGTGAGCTGGAGAGAGATGAGTATTGATTAAGAGCAAAATGCTCAGAGGAGCACTGCAACGAGAAAGCATACTAGCTCCAAATGAATCTTTTAGTGCTTGGACTCAAGTCATTTGCTGGGTATTATAAATAAATGTAATGGTTTGGAGACTTTTTGAATCCTCTAATTAAATTAGGAAGCATCTTGCAGTAATTATTTTTAAATAGCAGTAAACAACAGTGCACTTAATACACAGATCAACTATATTAAGAAAAACCCGACTTAATGTTGCAATCTGTACACAGCTTGACACCTTAACTAGTTTGCTTTATAAATTTGCGCGTTTAATTACAATAAAAAGAAAGGTGGTGCAGCTAAATTAAGTCATGACTGAGGTTAAACGCATCATTAAAGTGCATAAGAAAGTGCTCAAGAGATGCTCTGCTAAAATTTTACACCGCCAAAAAAGAAGAAAAAAAGATCAGATCAGCCTCTCAACTAATTACTTTTTTTGTTTTTTTCCAAAGAGTTATATTTTAATGACTTTCTGTAAAAAGTGTCTCACATAGTGGAAACCCATGATTTCTTGTTCACAGAATTAATCAGTATATTATTATTTCATCACGTAAGTAATCAAAATGTCAAAATGTTCATTAACTTTATTTCTAAAAGCCATAAATAGACATTTATTAATTCTATAACATCATATTTCTTAAAAATTAATCGTTAACATATATATAGGCATATACAGAAAAAATGGAGTTAAATTTAATATATTTAAAGACACTTTTAAAGACTCCTTCCATACATTTTTAAAACCTCATCATCACATCAGGGACATCAGTTTAAGCAGTATTTCTCCAGCACATTCTTGGAGAACCACCAACTCACATTTCCATTTCTCCTTAATCAAACACACCTGATTCAAAACATCAGCTCATTAGCAGAGACTGAAAGACTTGTAATGGGTGTGACAGACAAAGGAGACATCCAAATAATGCAGTGTTGGTGGCCCTCCAGAAACGTGGTTGAGAAACACTGAGTAAAACTATCTTTAGATATTGATTGTTAGAAAGCACAACTAACAATCTTAGCTTGGGATAACCCCTTATCAACACAACATAATTCTAAAGGATGAGAATGAAGCACAAGATAATTATTTGAGTGACAAATCCTATGAAAGATTTATTAGAAATAAAAATAAATAATAATTATACCAATAAACAAAACAATTATGACTGTTCATAAACTATTACGGTTCCATAAACTATTTTAAAAAAAACCATCTTCGTATACAGAACTATTCAATTAAAAAACTTTTTATCTAAAAGTAAATGAAAAGATGAAACAAAACATAATACATTAGAAATAAGATACAAGATGTGTACTTTAAGCGGCTTAATTTTTTGCTTGACTGATTTATAAACTTTTGACCCTGCGGACACCTTGTTATTAAAAAAAAATGTGTATCCTTCAACTGTTACCGTACCAAACTTTGCCTTTAAATTGGTGAATTTTCATACACAACTATGTAGAATACAAGACATTAAGTCACCTTCTATAATCAATAAGCTCTGAAGCAGTTAAATAATTGATTTAAAAACACCAAGAATTATTTTGTAAAATGTCATTATCAATGCCAAAATATAAGGAAAAAATAGAACTTTTAATTATAATTTTATTAAAGTCCCATTTGCTCTCATTATATTGGCTAATAATTAAGCTTTTTTAACTAAAAAGTTTAACATTTTCAATTCAGTTACCACCAAACTCTGTTAATAAAGTAGTAGAGTAGCCATGTAGATGGTATTGAAAAGAAACGACAAACAAACAAAACTATAGATTTTTTTTACTAACTAAGATTTTTTTTACTTGTATTTGTAAAACACAGTTTTTTTTTTTAATTAGATACATTTCCAATTAAATACTGAAAAGAAAAATAAAAGTTTTCCCTTGCTTTTTGAACAGCAAAATGTAGCAATTATAGAACCGGCAGAACTTCTTACCTGCACTATAGAAGCGGTCAAGTTTCTCCCAAAGGGGCTCATCCTCCCGGTGCAGTATGGACAGCTTAAGGGGTTCATAGATGGAGCCTGATCACAGAATGGAGAGCTTGACGTTACATAAAATACATCCACAATATTGCGATTCTTATCTCATCTTGAGGTGCATTTCAAGTATCATTGGATGGAAGTGATGAGTGTACTTCAAAGTCAGCATGGCTTCTTGATGATGCTAGTATAGACCGCTGGCCCGCCACAGACCCACTTTAGGCTATTTAGTATGCTAAGATTGAGCTGACTCACCAAAATCAAAATGTGCTTCATTTAGACTCTGTAACGTAAATGGTTTTCTGTTCCATTTACAATGCTAAGAGCCACAGAATGTAGATTTACTGGGGTGCAAAGGCAGCAAAGCATGCCAGGAAAACAATCAAAGCAAAATGCAAAAGACTAAGCTATTGTTCTCCAGATGCATACATCAAACCAAACGTCACTGCAGACACACACAGCTTGATTGCAAAATTGAAGGCACTGGCACAAACTCTGCGAGTAATGGAACCTGACACCGGTAAATTCAGCTTTTTTCTGAAGGGAGTGAAATTCAGGGGAACCCCATCAACTGAAGCACTATTTCAGACACATTTAACTTTGGAGCAATTTACATTTTAATAGAATCGACCCAGGGTCAATACCTCAGGTACTGAAAATTCACATTTCCGAGCAAATTAGCATAATTCCCATCAGCTTTTAAGTAGCACGGACAAAGCCATCTCTTTTTAAGATAACTCTGGCTAAGCAGTGCACATCCAATAGGCAAATGAAAGATACTCCTCGTTTTAGTTTCACCGCATTGATATAAACGTAGCTTGCCTCGAGAAACATACAAACCTTCTGTTAACAGATCTGATCAGACATTGACGGGAAAAATATGAGAGGTACTCTACTGAATTACTGATTTGTTTAATCACAGAAGAGGGTTTATGTATGACTAATCCTTTTAGATCTGATGAAATGTTAGAGATGAAACAATAGAATTATTTTTTCAGAAATGAAAAAAAGAAACTAAATTAAGCACCAGTTTTCAATTAAGGCATCAAAGAGTTTCATTTCTGAACCAAGACTGTTACTGGCTTTCAAAGGTGAATAGTATTGTATCCAGATACTAAACACACTCTGTAAAATGAAATGGAAAATTCTTACTTCAAATGTAATGAGTGTTTTTTCCCCCCATGGATCAATCGCTATTCTCCAACTTACCAAGCTTCCGGAGTTTGCGACGTTCGCTCAGAGGCTCATTGGCAGTGTCAGCCATTTTTCATTAGATGAATTCTACGCCAGTCGTCTATTAGTTAAACTACAACATTAGTATAATTCAGAAGGTTAGCAGAACATAGAGAGAAAAGACAAATTACATGGAATCACACAGTGAGATTTTCAGATCTTCAGGCATTGGTTACTGAATTGACATGCAACAAATCGCATTGTGTACAATTGAAAGTGAGGTGATTTGGTATGACTGATGTGAGAGGATGAGATGACAATTAAAATGTCCATGACACTGTATAATTGCTATGACTTTCTATTGGAATGACTGAAGAGACAAACTGTGATCAATAGCCCTGCTTTAAAACACTAAAAACACTATATGGCACATCTCAACATCCATAAATACACTTCACAAGATATAAAGTGTATAATTGCACGCATCTATTGTACAAGTACACTACCGATCAAAGGTTTGTGGTCAGTAGGATTTTTAAATGTTTTAAAATAAGCTTCTCCTGGTCACCAAGGCTGTATTTATTTAATCAAAAATACAGTACAAATTGTGAAACGTTGCACTTTAAAAATAACTTTTTCAAAAGAAGTTTATAATTTAATTAAAAACTTATTCCAGTGATTTTAAAGATGCATTTTCGGCTTTATTACTCCAGTCTTCAGAGTCACTTGATCCCTCAGAAATCACTCTAATACTAATTATTATTATTATTATTATTATTATTATTATTACTGTTATTATTGTTATTAACATTATTAATATTACTATTATCAATAGTAATAGAAATGAAAGCAATAATGTCTGGAGTAATAATTTCATTTAAAACTACATACAATAACTAATAAATAAATATTTAATAAATAAGTTTTTTTTTACTAATAAATGCCGCCTATTTAAATTATAAAAAAAAGAATAATTAAAAAACAAACTGACCTCAAACATTTGACTGTGTATATTCAATTTCACCTTCATAAATACATGTGAACTGAAATATTGATATATAATACATTGTAAATCTGAACTACTGTATTTTAAATGTTGCAAAAAAAAAAATAGCAAAATACAGCTATGTAAAATAAATGTAAATGGCCATTAGAGAAGTTTCTCTCTATATGATTTATAGTTGGATGACAGTGTAAAACTTAATTTTAGTTTTGTTTAGTAAACTGATAAAACTTGTTTCAAATTTAAATGTTTCTTTTGTCATTTATAGCATTTTTTGCATAAATGACAATTGTTCAAAATAACAAAAAAGTTGTCCTATTTTCAAACACGTTTACACATTTTAGACAATACAACACCAGTTTTTAACTACAGGAGAGTAATGAAATCAAATATTTGGTTTAATAAACCCTTACAATCACAGCAAATGAAAACATTGTATATTTAGACCAATTGCCATTTCTTGGAAGGGACCAAACAAGACATAAAAAAATCCATTATTTACTCACCATGTTGTTCCAAACATGCATGATATAATAGTCAATATAAAACATAAGTCACTGTTAGCAATCATTGGGTATTTTCTCATACAGGTTTAGAAAAACATAAGGGAGAGCTAATGGACTTACTTTATCCCTTCTAGAAATGTGCATTTTATTTATTTATCTGTTTAACACGGCCACAAGTGAAATCTGACAGCTCTGTGAAAGTCTACTTGAGTTTTCATGCCAGGCTGAAGCAGATGCTAACCAGCAATGAATTAAGAGGGTTAAAAAGCTTTTCAAAACCTTAGACATTCAGGGACCGGAGTCTTTTAAAGTACTACTGTTTAAGAATGCAAAAGCTGACGCTCAGTGTGCAGTTTAGGCTCTAAATATAGCCGCTGATCAGCGTCCTCTTCACGCCTGACCTTTGGGCTCTGCTCTTTGCCACACACATCCGCGAAAACTCATGTTAATGCGTTTCTGCAACACGGACAATGGGCCAAAATGCACAGACGGTACTGTTAAATCATTCTTAATGTCATGCATCTCAAAGAAGCCAAACCTGATCGCTTAGATCTGGCTTTGAACTCCAGCAGCTTCCAGCCGACATCCGCTAAGCTTGCCATGATGACAGCAAAATAACAACACTCACACTGCCGTTGAACACTCGCACTTGTCGCAAAGCCTATTCACTCCTGCCGAAGAACGACGTGCCGTGTTCCAGTTTTGTTGGTCGAAGCTAACAGCAAAATGTTGCTGTCATTTGCTTGTTTTTTGACGTTATTATCAAGTTTTGTCGGACAACACGTCACGTTTGCATTGCAGGACGTTACTAGCGATTTATTTGGCCAGGAAAACAATGGTACAGTAGCGGCTTTCGGTGACTTTAACTCTGATAAACAGACTGACATTTTCATCATCAGGAAGCGTGAGTACACTTCTGCTAGCTAATAATATGAACACTAGAGTCTTAAAAGAATCTAACCGAAGATTTACTTGAAGAAGTAATATGTGTTTTATATGGTTATTGTATATTATGTGTGAGTTTTGATAAGACGGCTGTCGATGCCGTTTTGTGCATATCACACAACTGTCATGTTTTCCTTATGACAGGGGGTGTGGCTGAATACTCCCTTTGTAAACACTATACTATATTGTTAAACTATTAGTGTTACATAGATGCTAATGTGCTGTTTCTTTTATATGTTATTTATTACAGAATCTGAGCTGTTGATTTTCTTGGCTGATCTTAAAGCACCTTATTTCAAACCTAAAGTCCATCTGACTAAAGAGGTTTTCCCTAGGTAAGATTATACACACACAGCACCACACACACTACTATTCTGAAGCCTACTGTATCATATCAGATACATATGTTGTCTCATTGAGGTAAAGTTGGTTTTATATTCGAACATTCGTTCAGCGACTACTTGGTGACATACTCCTTATATTGTTTACAATATACATATTGAATATTTGGCCTAAAATCACATGCAAGTATGACTCCAAAACAACATTACACTATTTTTTTGACTGTGAGCAATGTTGTACTTTGATAGTCATTGACTGATAATGTGATTTCACTATTTAGAATTTGCAAAGATAACTTTTCTGAAATTATATTATTAAGGAGGAGTGGCACGGTGGTTCAGTAGTTAGCACTGTCACCTCACAGCAAGAAGGTCATCGGCTGGGTCAGTTGGTGTTTCTGTGAGGAGTTTGTATGTTTGTGGGCGTTTCCCCCAATGTCCAAAGTCATGCGCTATAGGTGAATTGAATAAGCAAAATTGGCTGTAATGTATGAGTGTAAATGTAAGAGTGTATGGGTGTTTCCAATTACTGGGTTTTGGCTGGAAGGGCATTAGCTGCGTAAAACATATGTTAGATAACTTGGCGTTTTTTTCCGCTTTGGTGACCTCTGATAAACAAAGGGACTAAGCAGGAGGAAAATGAGTGAATGAATATTATTATGGAGGAATAAGTCTGAATGTGAGAACATAAAACCAACTTTACTTCAATTATTTCATCTAGCCTCTAAAATATGAATGAGACTGCTAAATTAGAGGCTTCCCTCCAATATTTCATGTAATTTAGCAAATAAAATAATACAATCTTAAGTGTTCAACTTCAGATCTTGATACACAAGTTTTTTTGTTGTTTTGTTTTATTGTGAAATCATCAGGGTTTTTTTTTTTTTAAATAAGCGTAAACGAACTTCAATATTCACAAATTATTCTAGATAAACCTGTTACAAGTTTGGTGTATATGATGTTTAATTTATAATTTTTGTCAGCTATAATAATCTTTGTGTCAAAAATGATACAACAAGCTTTGGAGTCATATTGTATTGTCTTTTATTAATCATTAGATTATAATTCATTAAATACTTTGATCCTGTATTTAAAACTATTAAGCTTTCATCTCAAATGTAAGCTTTTGATAATTATTTTTTAATTGTGAGCATGGTATTTTCAGTGTTTCGCAATATATGGGACATGAAATGCTGATGAATCAAATATAAAACTTGATTGTAATGTAAAACATATGCATACTGTATAGTGTCTTTCATATTTTTTTTCTCTGTAAGCTGTTCCATTTCAAACATTAGATATTTTCAGTCATTGAGTCATTGAACATGTCAGTTTTTTTGTCATTGTTAGCATGGTTATTCATTGCAGTGTTGATGTGTTTTTCCTGCTCTCTCAGTGACTTCATCATAAGCAGTGTGGTGCCGGGTGATTACGATGGAGATTCTCAGATGGATGTGCTTCTCACTGGCCACTTAAATGGCTCCCCTTTACAAACAAGCGTCTTCGTCTTCTGGGGACGTAACCAGACTTTAGGTAAAGTCGTAAATATAATACATAAAGAATATATAGTTCTTTAATAAAGCTCTGAGCATTCCCTATATTTATTAACAATGAAGGGTGTTTATTGGCACAGTTCAAGAACATTTAACATCCCTAGAAGCTTTCTGTTTCACAAAAGGCCCCAGTAGGTGAAAAAGTTTATTAAGTTATTAAAGATATGAAAATTTTCTTCACACTAGGCAAAACATCTTTTTTTTTTAGATGCTTTACTGATTGATTATTTTCAATGAAAATATATTAATTCCTACATTATTTATACATTCATATTTTTATTCTATTATTTTCTTATTTTTATTATAATTAAGTGTTAGTTCACCAAAAAATGGAAAAAAAAAATAGGAAGATTCTCATGTTTGTTCATATAATAACATTTAGCAATGAACAGCATTAATCTTTTGTTTAAAACAAAATAAAAAAGAATGGACAGCAGTGACCTAATAGTTAAAGAGTTGGACTTGTAAGGTTACAGGTTCAAGTTCTGTTACGGGAAGGGATTGTAGACTGTGGCTTTAATTGTGTGTTCACTGCTGTGTGTGCACTTGGATGGGTTAAATGCAGAGCACAGTTTCCAAGTACAAAATCACCGTACTTGGCCAAATGTCACAACATTCACTTTCATGTGTCATATATTTTGTATGAAGTGTTTTGGGTGTATACGATAGGATTTAGTGAAAGGCAAACTAAATATTATTAAATATAAACATTAAAATACATTTTCTTACAGACCAAAATGAAAAGGAGAAGCTGGACAAGATCTTTACTGATCAGCCTCTTGTAATGGAGTAAGTATATAATACTTTATCATAATACATAATAGTACTATAATAATACTTTAAGGGGCGATATGGTGGCTCAGTGGTTAGCACTGTGGCCTCACAGCTAGAAGGTGGCTGGTTCAGGTGCTGGCTGGGCCAGTTGGCATTTCTGTGTGGAGTTTGCATGTTCTCCCCGTGTTGGCGTAGGTTTCCTCCTGTTGCTCCAGTTTCCCCCACAGTCCAAAGACATGCGGTTTGAATTGAATAAACTAAATTTTCCATAATGTATTTGTGTGAATGATTACGTATGGGTGTTTCCCAGTACTGGGCTCCAGCTGGAAGGGTATCCACTGTGTAAAACATGCTGGATAAGTTAGCGGTTCATTCCGCTGTGGTGACCCCTGATGAATAGACACTATGCCAAAGGAGAATGAATGAATGAATGATACTTTAAAGCTATTTAATTGCATTTTATTTTAATGTAATTTATTTTATTCAAGTAAAATAAAATAAAATATATTAAAATTAGTTTTTTGGGTTGTGTATAAAAATGTGTGAACCCATATACTGGAAAATGCAAACCTACATAGCTTATGGGTACAAATAAAGTGAACCTGACCTTATATCGTTAATATGATGCTGTGTACAAATACAAGCTTGCCTTTTACAGTTTTAGCCGAGGTATAATGTCACTTTTTTCTTTTTCACATGTAAAGCTTTGATGGGGACATGATCCCAGATATTTTTGGAACTGTGGATGGCTCGTTGGAGGTTTGCTATCTAAAGGCGAGGTAAGATTATCTTCCTAAATGTCCTATAGCTTGTTTTGTTTTTCTACCCATTTCATAAAAACAGATATACAGTGTAGTAAGCATGTTTTTTTTAATGTTTATCAGACAACAAAGATGTGAGAAGGCTCTCAACTCCACAGTTGCAATGCGCATCCCTCATTCCCATGCTTTCATCGACCTTAACAAGGACTTCACTGCTGGTGAGTGATGCTGTTGTGCTCTTTTTATCCCTAAATCTTTTAAAGTGTCAGAAAAATGATTGCATGGTTTTGCACCACTGTGGATCAATGTAGAGAACTTTTCTTTATTCTGCAGCGTTTAGTTAGCTAAAAGAAAATTAGGTATGATTTACTGTATTACTGTAAGAATGTGGGAAGGTGTTGGAATGCTTGGAATACTTTATCAACACATAATGTACTGAAAGCCAGGAGGACACACCAAGTCAACACATGGCATCTCTTGTCCGGTTACCGTCAGAGCTTGTTTGCCGATTCAACATGTCAAATCACATCAGTCATAAGCTGAAGAGAGCATTCTGAATTGTTATTAAGCAATGAATCAGAGCATGAGTAGTAAAGTGACGTAAAAAGTAAACAATTCAAGTCAAGAAGGAACACAAAGAGGCTAGCTGTGATTTTTACTACATCTTTAAAAGTGTTTGCAAACAATATGGATTATTAGATTATCAGACATATTTGCAGGAGCAAATTCATCCATGGTAAATAAGGTTGCAAATTGGCATGCAATGATAACTGTTTTCAAAGTTTGGAAAAGTCAAGGTTTTAAAACTGCCAACTTTTTCTGTTATACTGTTCCTACAGTATATGTATAATTTTTTTTGTTGTTGTTGTTGTTTTTTTTCTTTCTTTTTTTCCAAAGATGCCATTTTAAATCGTAAAGAAATCAGTGTTTTTGAAACTAATGAAGAGAGCAGAAGTCAATGATTGATTTGAATTATTTAGCCTGACATGTTTATTGTTACAAAATATCTTAAATGTTTCCTAAATAAAAATATATTTTGTTCAAACGGGGAAAAAGTTTTAGTTTTTAACCCAGACATTTAAAAAATACATATTTTGGAGCAGTAATCACAATACCATTAAACTGCGATATGTTTATCCAAGGTTATCATACCGTCATAATCACAGAGCGGTCCATTTCTAGATACAAATGGGTTGGCAATAGCCATAGGAATTTTCTCCCTAAGTGACTTTAAGGGGCATAGTGTGTGGGGTATGATATTTTTAGTTGTGCGTGTGTGCGTTTTTTACCTAAATGTTTGCTCAGGCAGTGTATTTGTTTATACAACAGTAAATTTTGTTGCCCAATAGCTTGAAGCACAAGTATGTTTTTATGTAATTTAAATGAACAGATAGACTTTTTAAAAATATTCTTTTGTGTGCTGTGTTCAAGAAAATGCATGCAATGCTGCGAATTACACAGTAAAATCTTTTTTTAAATACAATTAAGTACCCTGGCATAGGCTAACCTTCAGTTGACTAAATTCACAGTTTATTCTCATTAATTCCCATTATGTCTAAGGGCTCTATTTTGACAATCCATGCGCAATGTGCAAAGTGCAGGGCGCAAATGCATTAAGGGCATGTCAGAATCCACTTTTACTAATATAAGAATGGAAAAATCCGCTTTGCGCTGTGGCGCAGGATCTAAAAGGGTTGAGCTTATTTTCTTAATGAGTTATAGGTGTGTTTTGAGAATAAACCAATCAGAGTCTCATCTCTCATTCCCTTCAAGAGTCAGTTGTGTCACGCCATAGCACATTTGCTAATTACATGAAGGACTTTGTAAGTGGGAAAACTGAGCATTTCACTAGCAAGAAAACAGTTAAACAGAGCATCTACAGCGCAAGAATGAGAGATAACCCTCCTCTTTATTTACTTTCATCAAAACGACTCTTGCGCCAAGCTGAAACTAGCAAACAACAATTGTGTTGCTCCTTGTGCCAGGTGTATGATAGGGCTCTTATATATTCCTGTTAATTCCCAAATATTTCAATTAATTCCCACGAAAATTTCCAACCTTGAAAATTCCAGGAATTTTGCAATCTTAGTGGTGAGAATCAATTGCTGTTGTAATTGGCACTAAATGCTGCTTTCTTTATGTTTTGCAATCGCACGTCTGACATTATGGTTTCCCGTTGTAAATGAGAATACAAATGTGCGGAAAGACTCAGGCACAGAACATCATCTCTTGTTTCAGTGCTTCGTCCATTTGGTGTGTTCAAGCACAGTCTTTTGGTCCAGATGAAACCAGACGTGAGCCGATGCGAGGCAACAAGACAGTTGGGTTTTATTAGAATGCCATGTTTCTCAAAGTGATAGTTTAAAACTAAATGAAGTAATACATACATTTTTACTTTGTGCAATTGTTTATCTCATGCTTTATGAAGATCACAGAAGGTTTAAGACTAACTGTTTGCTAATAGTGTGGTGATGTAAGAGCCTAAAAAGACTAACAGTGATCCATTTTCTCCTATATGAAAATCTTGCATTAATGGGGTTGTGGTTGATTTGCATGATTTTTAGGTGCACTGTTTAGATTTTTCTTGCTGATAAACATTTGGGCTCCACATATTCATGCAAATGTAGGTCTACATTTGATCAATATTCAACCTGGCTGAGACCCACAGCAATTCCCATTTTATATTTCACTGAATAACTTGGTTTTACATTTATACTTCATTCTTGCAGATTGTTTTTGTCAGGCTTTTCTATCCTCTTGCAATCCTGTCATCAAGACGTGATTCTTCCTGAGTGTTATTTTTCGTCAGGGAAATACTGGCCCATTTTTAGCAGCAGGTCTTTTGGGGAGTGTCTGTGAAGTACTACGGTTCTCTTGGAGTTTCTGATGTGTTGCGTTTAAACTTGAGTCTGCTGTGGAATTCATCATTCATTTATATGTGGCCCTAAACTGACCCCATTGCACGCTTTGCTGTGAAATGTTTATCAGCTTCATGAAAATTGTAATAAATTTTCATAGAACAACTTGTTTTCAGTCTCATGCCACATTTTAACATCTGCGGTCATTTAAATGCACTATAACATATGATATATGTCATTCAAAATCATATCATAAAAATATAATAATAAATTATATTGACATTTATTCAGCAGTGAGTTAGTGAATACCTTGTTACATATATAAAAATGCTACACAATTTTAGATGCAACAATTTGAAAACTATTAAGCAGCAAAACTGGTTTTATAAAAAAAAAATACTGAGATTGTTAATAAGTTGAGATAATAAGCACCAGTATAATAATATAGTTTTCATGCTTTTTTAAAAATATTACTTGTTACTATCATATTGGCTTTTGCATAAAAAAGACATGATAAATCAATGGTATTCATTAGTTTATTAATTACCAATGATAGTTAATGCTTTTTTTTTTGATAATCCATCAATTATTTTCTCTAGATATAATGCTAAAAGCTTACCAAATCTATGTGAAATATGTAAAATGTATAGTTTAACAGAAATTATGGATAAAATTAATAATAATAATAATAATCAACATTATCATCATCATCATCTAGTAAATACAATAACCAACATTATCTGCTTGTCCTCTAATGCAAAGTGCCACCAAATTGTTTGATGATGCACTATCATACAAGCTTTTTATAAATGTTTTCTATCGTGTGTAAATAATAGTTATGTTAAAGTAAAAAAAAAAAAAATTATTCACTAATAGTTGTTTATTACAATCAATATGATCATTGGCCAGAAATTGCTGCAACCATATTAATATCAATTATTTTTGATAAATCATGCCACACTAAATTTTATTAATTTGCCACAGAAAAAATTATGCTAAAATACTTTAAAACATCATTAGTTGTATTGAAATATAGTAATTTTATTCAGTTATATTTGCTGTATTTTAAGTTTACTTGATAAGTTTACAAAGAACCTATTTACACATTTTTACTATTATTAATATTATTCCTACTGCTGTGGTTAATTAAATAGACTAATGTTAAAATATACAATGAAATATAGTCACAAGCGGCAATTATCTGTGTTCAAACGCTTTAGAAGAGTAAGGTTATTTATCAGTTAGGGATCCTGTAAGTAGTTTATTTTAAAATGAAATATATAATTAGAGTTTTAGAGTTTATAGATTGAGTTATCAAATGTTTAATTACACACTCCAAAAACTCAAAATTGCCCCCTAGTGGATAATTTCTTTCAAAATTTCTACAGAACTCTAGGCCAATGAGTCCAACATGCCCAACGAGTTTCATTCTGATCAGCCATCGTTAACTGTGTTTGTAGGATGCTCAAATTTGATTGGCTAATGGTGGCCATTTTTTATTGTATGTCATTCTACTTTGAGCAAAACTTCAAGTTAATCCATCTAGTGGCTAAAATGGTAATTGAAATTGTATTGAGCTTAAACAGACATTGAAACACTGTGTTTTTCAAACCTTTTCCACTATTATAATGCCACCTGTTGCCTGATCTCCACAAAACTTTGCATGTTTGTTTACATTGATATGCCACATGTACTCACTAAATTCTGTAATGTTTTGAGTTTTGCTTATGGGTTTACAGGCATGTAGGCTCATGTAGACACACCTCTTTTGTAAATGAGCCTGCTACAGCTATCCAAAGTAGAAAGTTCAACTTTTTAAAGAATTTTTATTTATCTACTCAGTCCAGAGATTCAAACAACACTTTGCGCTTAAACCCCTAAATCAATTGATTATTGAAAGACATACAAATAAATATTTTTAAAAGCTTGTTGTATGATTTTTGACATAGATTAATATAGCAGACAAATTTTAAATATGGAACACCATATAAACTAAACATTCTTGTGAGATGTTCATCTAGGGACAAAAATGCTACTACAGATTTTTTCTTCTATCTAGAGTAACTAAGAATCATCAGAACTGAAGCCAGCAGAATAGTGCATTTCAGCATCCCCATCATTGCAAGAGACTTTCTATTTTTTCTTCTTCTTTTTTCTTCTTCTTCCGAACCTGTTTAAATCAAATGATCTCTCAAGAGCTGTTTATGAATTCAAAGTCTTTTTCAAGGGTGAAGAATTTCCTGTTAAGCTTGCCTGTCAGTCACATAAAATTGACTATAATAATCCTGCTGCACTGTGCTTCTAAAGACCCTCTTGTACAATTCAAGTCTTACCCTCCATTTGTCTGGTTGAGGCTCAGG